TAAACGATAATTGCCTATCGGTAAGGAAATATATACGATAGACGATAGAGAATAACAAATCTATAATAACGCATCACTTTCAGAATGGAACGAAAAAGACTATCGAAACACTTTCATCTCATCTCTAATTACATTGTTTCCTGCAGACGAAAAGCAGACAGCATCTCGTTCATCCAAAAAAATACAATTTTTAGATATTATATAAAAAATGAGTTTGATGTTATTTCGAGTGGTTTGTTTTCTATTCTGTCTTGTTTCTCGATGAGTAATTCTAAAATGTATCGTGTATTTTTTCTCGCTTGTCATTCAGTTATTATTGAAAATGACTGTCTAAAAGGCCGAAATATCCAAATAAAATGGTCGTTAAACCAAAACTGCTGGAAAAGTCATTATACAAAAAAAAGAGTAAATAGAGTAATGAAAAGAATTTTTTTTATGCATATATATAACATAATAACAACAATAATAAATTATAATTAGATAAGAGGTAAGAAACTGCATCTATATAAGCTATCGGTAACTGAAACCAAAGCGAAAAACATGAAAATTTTTCCTTCAGAAAGCCATTTAAAATCTTCGAAGAAAGACGAGTGTAGATGTTTCTTTTTCTTCTTACTCAGTTTTTACGGTTATTTTCGGTTTTCTCTTCTATTCGATTTAAATGAAAGTAAAACTAGTGTAAAAAACAACGTTACGAAAGAATCGAAAAAAGTTGTGGAAGGAGATCCGAAAGGATCTCCAGAAAACCTCTCCATGATCCTCAAGGGTTTTGAGAAAACTAAATTTATTATCATGATCAGCATATTCCATTACCTATTTACGTATACGTTTCAAAATTTTAAAGATTTGTGCGATTTAGCTAAAAAATAATTCAGGAAATATGACGTCTTGTCTGTAGTAAAAGTTGATTATTTTTAGCTAAGTCACACAAGCCTTTAAAGTTTTGAGATACATACATAAATAGGTAATGAAATCTGCTGATCATGATAGTGGATTTAGTTTGTTCAAAATTCTTAAGGATCATGGAGAGGTTTTCTGGAGATCCTCTCAGATCTCCTTCCACAACCTTTTTTCGGTTCTTTTCTAGCGCCATCGGATAGAGCATAAAAAGTTACATATTCTGTAAAATTTTGGCGTTGCAATTGGATTCTCTTCCCAGTCAGCTTGGGTGAATACTTTGAAAAACCTTGATTTTTCAAGTTTTCGTCGGTTTTTGACGAAATATGATCTTGCATAATTGTCCTATTTTCATATTCAGATTCAGCATGACATTCTGCGCCAGAATCGATGATTCCTTGCTCGGCGCCCTCAGAGACGCTTTATTGCGAAAAAGGCCTAAACTCAGGATTTCTGTTGGGACTTCAAATAGTTATATTCGTGTTTAGCGTAGTCGATTATATATTACCAGATACTTTTGAAAGAAATCAAAAATGAAAAGTTTTTAAAATTCCTATACGGAAACCTAAGGCGTCAAAAACCTAAAAGGTTTCGCAAAATTGAGTGCATGGATATGTTCCTGAACATGTTCCAATGTAAAAAATCCGAAAATGTTGTAGGCAAGAGAATGGACTTATCCATCCTGCTCCTTTCGTCCTTTTTTCTAAGATCGATACGTAATTCTTTACGATGTTTTGCGCAAGAACGAATGCGACTATCCTGCTGAAACTTTCTTTTAAAAACTGAAATACGTTGAAGGTGGCCCACAAACTCCGTCCATCTGAGCTTGTATATAAAGTAGTTTCAAAAAGGCCACAAAAGGATGGAAAATAGATAGGCATAAAAATAAACCCGTCTTAGATTCAAAAGAAAGTTCGGTAAGGAACATATGGAGTCAAATTTGTATTTTTGTCATTGAATGTTCCTTAATGCTTCGTTTACGGTATGTTTCCACAGTGGACATTTAAATCGGGCGTGAAAAAATCATGAAAATTGTTTACGTTCTAAGATTTATTTTTATATGGTGTAGTTAATTTGAAGATGTGATCTGGATATTGTTGATGATGCCTTAGCGTATTGTTCTGCTCACATTTTTCACAATAACTTACGCTTCGACAGTGTATACAAGAAAATAGAAATGTATCAACATCCTGTTTACAGGAATCACAACTGTAGATATAGCCACAATTTAACTGATCATCGTACGATCGTCCACGTCTAGGCGCTTCGCGAATAAACTTCTCGAAATTGGGTTGTTCATTTAGCGATGCTCGATAAGCAGATGCTTGTGACCAGTTAAACGCAGCACCGCAACCACTTTGTACATTACCACCTCCATCTGTATCTTGACCGCAAATCATTGAATCACAACCTTTCGAAAAAAATAAGATTTCAAAACTTTAGATATTAAAATATTTCAAGTATTTGTGTACCTTCAAGTTTTTCTATCACGCGATTACATTTTGGACAATATTTACACTTGTTTTGCTTGTACGACTCATCAGCCATCAAATCTTCATGACGTCGTTTTAGTTCATCATTACGTTTTTTATTTGCTTCTGCAGCATTATTGTAATCGTTTAACTGTTTTCGATATGCTTCATTCTCACTTGCTCGTTGTCGTAAGTGACGTCCACGTTCTAGAATGACAATGGTTATTTATACTATAATAAGTAATTGAACATATTTTACCTTGATTACACCAAAGATGCCATTGTTCAATTATTTTTGGTATTTCATTACATTCTATTACGTAATGATAAGGTGATCGATTACATAATGAACAAAATTTTGTTTTACATAATTTACATGTTACTTTAAATCTATCATATGGATCGTCTGCTTCTGCCATCCATTTACATGTACGACCAGGACATTTAATCACTCCTTTTGTACGTTGGGCATAAATATTCAGCATTTTTGTACACTGATAGTCTTTATATTCTTTAATTATATGCTTATTTAAACGTAAATGGTTTAATTCACTGTCCGTTAATGCACGATTACATTGAAAACATGCTAGTAAGTCTTGATTATTGTATTTGCTTTCACACATTCTGGCATAACAGGAATAGCATAGCTTATGATCACAATCCAATACATATATATCCTCATATTTAACTTTATCTTGACATATTTCACATAAGCAAGTTGAAATTTCATCATTTACCGACAGTTCAGAATAAATATGCTGATATTCTAAAATTGAAAGTTATAATTTATGTATAACCACACACAATCTACTTTGAAATTGCAAAAGCTGTCAAAGCGTCATACTATTTGACTCTAAGACGTCACATAAGGACTACATACCATTTTCACGAGATGATAATGGTTTGGCATATTTATTATTATTATTTTCATTGTCGGATTGAACACAGAAATATGATGATGAAGCTGTTTCTGAGTGATATTCCTCATAATTTTGGTCAGGGTTTAGCAAATTGAAGTTTGTATTATCTAAATCGGTAAGTTGATGTGGAACAGATACCGTAGTTTGATCCTCAAATGGTGTTGTCGCATCTGCAACACATAAAACAAAATAGAAGTGAAACATGTATGTTGCACTAAATGCTGTATTATTATACTCACTGCTGTTTATTTCTTCTGTATATATATTTTCTTTTCGCTGATGAATCCAATCAATTGACGTTAATGATCTCTCGTTTTCCGTTTGTGAATGATGTGAAATATGTTTATTAAACAAATCATTTACTTTTTGTCGAAAGGATCTTGTGTTACCTAAAAGGATATCATCAGAACAAAAAAAATAAAGTTGATTTTGAGTTGCTGAAAAGTGCTTTTTTGTATTTAGCACACTCGATAACCCAGAAGATTTTCTGTTTTTGGACAGAAGTATTCTCAAAAGATTAGAAAAACTTTTGAAACAAAATGAACAAAAAAATTTCTATGCAAAAGTAATATTAGTTGGAAAAATTTTCCTAAAACTTTGGAAGTATCCCTCACCAAAAACAGAAAATCTTCTGGATTATCGAGTTTGATAGATAGGGAAAAGCACTTTTCAGCAACGCAAAACTAAGTTTATATTTTTCCGGTGTTCTCAAACGTTCGCATCCATGATTACATTCTCAGAATATGTACAGAAAAAAAATTCTTCTTAATTAATCAAGAAACTGTTTCGTTTTCATCTTACCTGCATCTGCTTGAACATTATTTGTTGTCTTCTCTACGTTAATGATACTATCATCATTAATATCATAAAATTCAAGTGTATTTCGGTCTTCAAGTTCAATACGTATGTTGAGTGATTGTTCAATTGTTAATTTATACTGTGACGAAAATCTGCCTAGAAAATTTTTTAATTCTGGTAATTGTAAAATTAATTTTTCTTTGATATTTTTAATCTAAAACAAAAAACAATTCAGTTTTGAAAATGAATTAACCTTCTCCTTACTATTACATACGAGATCGTTTGATTGACATTCAATAGGTATAAGTTTATCGGGTAATAATACAACGTATATTAACATTTTTTAAATAAATCTGAAAAAAGTAAAAACTAATTTTAAAAACTTTATCTTGTCATATGTTTCGATGAATTACTATCTAATATACATTCTTAGAGTTATAGAACGCTTCATTCAGCGGAGAAATATGTACTCTATACATTGATATAAGCATCTTGAACTTGAACTTTTATTTTTTAAATTTTAGTGAATAACTATGACAAGTTATATAGCATAACTGATAAGAATAAGAATGAAATAGCAGATACAGACTGTGTTTAAATGGATATATCATGAAAAAGTTTTTGGAAAAAGATTCCATTACGTCCAATTTATTTTATTAGGTCAGGAACATTCACCAAGCACATTTCTCTACAAAACGAGATGTTTTGGAACCCCGCACGAGTTTCAGTTACAGATATATAACATTTCGTCTAAATATTTCTAAAATACGTGATGCAACTGATACATACTAAGAACATGTGTGGATATTTACAGTCTATGTACATGAGCAAATGAGAAGATATTATGTAAAGAAGTTAACAATTAAACTTCTATTATTTGAATTTGTGTGTCAAGGTAAAAAAGAAGCTTTAAGTAACTTCACGGTTGGAATTAACCAACTTCAAGCGTACTGTCCCAAGTAAAATTCATAAACTGTTAACTATTGACAGAAGAACAAAAAGAAATTATGAAGAGAACAGCATCTTGATAATATTGCACGTGTGTCATTTTAACTTTCTTTCCGACATTATTCACATAAATGAGTCATATTCTAATGTTAACTCGTATGCTTTTAATGGTATGACCACGTGCTTCCCGGACTTTTGCTCCCCTAGGACAAAAGCTCTTTGACCATTTGCTTGTCTACGACAGATTCTTTTTTAGGATTTTTGCTCTTTTAGAAGTTTTACCTTTTAAAATATGTTTAAGTAAAATGATTTTACATACAAACAGCAAGCTTTCGACACTATCACAGTATCATCAGCAGGCGAATGACTTTTGAGAGAGAAGAGAGACAAATATATATAGAGATTTTTCTACAAGGAATTTTCTAGTTCTAGTTTCTCTATTTTTCTACTTTTTCTTTTTCTTTCTCGTCTAGTTGAAGATGACCGTCTTTAGTGATATATCATTGTATGTTAGGTTATTACGTTGATATGTTATCAGTGCCTCCTTTAGTAATCTTTTGATTTCATTTCTTTCATAAGCCAAAACACATGGTTTGTCAAGTTCTAATGTGTGATTGTTTTCAGTGGCATGAATAGGGATCTACTTTGTTTAGTGTCTTTTTATGCTGATCCACTCTAGTATCAATTTCATTTCCAGTTTGATCGATGTAAATATTAGCATAATCATTACACTCTATACAATAGACAACTCCTACTTTCCTTTCATCTTTATCTTTATATTTATATGAGAAAGTACGGCTTATTGTTTGATATTTTTCAAAACCGAATGTAATGTTTGTAATTCCATATTTAATCAAAGTTCTTTTTATGCTCGATACAAATTTTCTTGACTCGTTACCCAGGTAATAGAAACAAACATTGCCTTCTACTTTGCTTTGAGATTTATTTGCGTTTTTCGACGGGTTAAAAAGGATATTATTAGTACATCTTTCGAATATCATTTTAAGTACTTTCTCACATAAATATAAAGACAAAGATGAAAAGAAAGTAGGAGTTGTCTATTGTGTAGAGTGTAATGATTCTGCTAATATTTATGTCAATCAAACTGGAAATGAAATTGATACTAGAGTGGATCAGCATAAAAAGATACTAAACAAAGTAGATCCCTATTCAAAACTGTTCGTTCATGCCACTGAAAACAATCACACATTAGAACTTGACAAACCATGTGTTTTGGCTTATGAAAGAAATGAAATCAAAAGATTACTAAAGG